TCCCTACACATACAAACAAGCATAGTAATCCATCAGAAAGTAGCATAAAAGTTATTTATTACAAGCTCTCCATGATTGTTACTGTAATTTTTTGGGAATATTGGTTTATATTTCAAAAGGCAATTATTCCATTCTAAAACCTAATCTATGATGGGGTTTTTTTCTCCCTAGGTATAGATCAGTTCATAAATCAGCAGGTTGTTGCGACAAAGAAAGAATCAGTGTGGCCACTTTGATGCGGTGCGTGTGGTTATGTAGTATACAAGACATTGTAAGGCCATAATTCCTCAAGCCCCAATGTGTTTTGATCTTCTGCTTTCCTTTTAGAAACATGCTTCTCATTGATTTAAAGCTTTCTGTTGTTGGAAAAATCTACCACAGTCCTCTAATTTGTTCCAATGGTTGAATTCACTGTTACACACAAACTTTATTTCTTGTATAAAAAGACTCCACTACCAATGGCTGTGTCTCTGGTTCTTTTGTCTAGCAGAAAAGATGCTTTTACTCTCAGAGATCTGATGGAGGAAAGGGGGCAGGGTTGGAAGACAGTTGACACCAAAAGATGAATTCCCCTTAAATAGCTAATATAATACACTCAAAATCTGAAACAGCAGATTTGAAACACTGGAGACACCTAGATATCAGCCTAAGAAAATTACCTTCCTTTCCCCCCTCTCTTTTTTTTTCAGGATGCAATAAAAATACTTGAGATATTGGTAATTCTAAGCACCAAACCAGGAGCTCATTTAGTCTAGTTTCTTAACGACAGCTACAAATAGAAAAGTCACAGATTGCCTCTTAGTGGAGAATGATGGAAAGGCCACCCGCTGAAGCAACTGCCAACACTCTGGGATTGCTGGCTAGAAAATAACGTGCAAAGAAGAAATTAAAAGCCTATTCCATCAGCTCTCAACCTTTTTAGACTCAAGGCACCCCTCTATATACTCAGGAACCTCAGAAAATGTGAGCTCTTGCTTTTCCACTCAATTTTTTACTGCAGAAAAATACTAGAGCATTTATTTTGTTGCAATCATCTCAGAAAGACCACAACAGGGCAGGATGTTTTAGATGCTATGGATTCCTATTTGAAATGTCTGGGTCTGTCTTGTCAATCATGCACATGTAACAAAACTAATAATTTGTGGTACATCCCAGAACCCTTGAAAGTATCTCAAGGTACCTCAGGGTGCCACAGCACCCTGGTTGAGAATCACCAGACTAACCCCATGTACAGCAATCTCTTGTGCCCATCTCTACATGAAAGATGGGGATATGATCCTGAAGTATACTAGCCATTTGTAGGAGTTCCGGCTGAGGAAGAAGGCATTTGATAACAAACCAGTCTGCCTCTCATTACATTTCTCTCCTAACGTATCAGTGCAGGAAGACAAAAATAAAAAAAAATAAAAAAAAGTCATCTGAAATGTTGGTCTCAATTTTAATTCATCATTGGCTTTAGAAACATAGAACCACATGAGAATCTCCACAGCTGCTTAGATCACTGGTCCTGACACCTCCCCATGTTGTTTTCAGAAGTGGCTTCATTCTGTCATTCAGGCAAGAAATTTTGTGCATCCGTATATCACTGGGGGAGTCCAGCGGGTTACACAGTGACAAAGGCTATTACAAAAAAAAAGAAAAAAAACTTAACTACACAAAGAAAGCAAGCTTCAGGAGAGCTGCTGGGATAGTCCGTCAGGCAGAGTAAAGAATGTTGTTAAAAAAAAACTGGGATGACCAGCATTAGGACCACTGGGATTCAAGCCCAGAGAAGCTGAGCCAACAGGCAGGGGAAAGTCCATGGTGCCATCAGGCAGCTAGTCATACACCAGCCCACATCCAGCTTGGTCCCTCCCATGAGGACACTGATGAGGATTAAGGTGATGTGGAGGAATGGATAGAAATCACAGGCCTCTGACAATGGGACTAGAAAACCGCTTCTACTCCTGTGCACGCTTCTCAGACTCCAGCCTTGTCCATCTCACTCCTGCCTGATCCCCACATTACCACAGTCCCTGCTTCTGCTGTGTTTGGACCTCCTGGATCTTATCTACCATCCACCCGCGCCACGATACTGCCTCAGCCCATGGCCTGAGTACTCAGACTGTAATAAATACCTGGTGTGCCCCAGCATACCATTGGTAACTCATTAAGCCAACCACTCATGGCATGGTCAATCCTGACAACCAGTTCCAGTTAAAATTAGTAGAACTCATGCATCTTTGAACTGAAGTTGGGCACCTAAACTGACCAGCCATCTTCTAGGAAGCCTGCTTCCTTCTCATCTTCAACCCTAAGGACCTTTCAAATCTTTTTCAGTTCTAAATAAAGACCGAGTTGAATTCAAATGTTGAAGACACAACTGCAAATCTCAAACTTTATTTCCACATGACACGGGGGAAACAAGGGGGGAAGGGCCTTTCCACAAAAAGGTGTTCAACTTGTATATTTAACTTCTTTTCCCCAAACAGAAAATTAACGCTTCTTACTGTTAGTCAAATCTCTTTCGATTCCAGGGTTTCTATCTGGCAGCCGATAAAATACAGCATCTACCATTAACTGCATATTCTGCTACACTTACTTTGCATCAGTTCCACCTCAATCTGCAAATACTCAGTTTGTGTATCAAAATACCCAACTCACTGACACACTGTGTTACTGTCCTTTCTACACTAAAGTTGTCTCACCTTAATGGTGAGCCTTGTCCCATGATAATGAAAGTCAAAGGCCCTCCCCTTTACACCATTTTCTGTGTTCCACAATGAGCCATTTCTCCAAAAAAAAAAAAAAAAGTGCATAGCAGGAAAAAAAAAATCATTTGTTATTTAAATCTGTACTTCCCATTTTTTATAGCTCCTGGTTCCAAAATTGCACAACACACATTCCTTCCATAAACAAGATGTAACAGACCAAAAAAAAAAAAAATAAATAATAATAAATCACCCAGTTACTCCCATATTAAATTCAATATCTTCTAGAATGTCAGAAAGTCTGGATTTGAAGGACTAAAGAATCCAGCACTTCCCTGGTATTTTATTCTGATGGCTAATTATGCTCACTGTTTCAATAAAGGTGATACTTTGCTTCTACAGTGAAAAAAAGTCTGGTTTTAACTTCTTATAACTGTTTCTTATTATGCTTTTCTTTTCCAGGTTAAAGTCCGTTTCTACATAAATTTCTCCTTGGCAAGGCATTTATCCATTATAGTCAAGTCACCTCTGAATATATTTAAGTAGAAGAAACTTTGTAAGCATTTTAACTAAGAAAAAAAAAAAAAAAAACAGGAATTGAAGGGGAAGATGTGGAATATTTTCTTCTTCCATTTCTTCAATGGATTAAATCTTTCCCCCCCGCCCCCCATCTTCTTCACTCAGCAGCCAGTTACCATAGGTATGAGCTAAAAGGTCTCCAGTTTATGCCACCAATGGTTTATTGCAACATTGGGAAGAAACACATGTGGATTAAGCCAATCAGTCCCACCTGAGAAAATAATTTTGTAAGACTGTACCACTGTCTCCAGGACCAAGATTTACCACAGTTAAAGAGCCGGTGTCAAAGGATGGTCATCCTCGCTATAAAGAAGCAGCAACTGGCAGACAGCATACTACAGGATTTCTTCATATTATTGATATTACTTGCCAAGGGACAATCAAATTTTGTATGGTCATGTACCACTGTGTAATATGGGGTGGGTCTCACAATGGTAAATGCCCTCTCAAAAACCTAGATACTATTAGAAGAAGCACAAAGAATTTGAGCCTGGAAAGTTCTCCAAGTCATTTCCATTACACTGAAAATTGACCGCGAGTGAGGGAAAAAAAACAACCCACTGACACATGCTATCGATAAAGGATTGCACTTTTTCTGTAATAATCACCCTAGACTGAGATTTTCAGAGGAACAACTAAGAATTAGCTAAATCCTATTGATTTAGGGATAATACCCATCTGTCCATCCACCCATTCATAGACTCAGAGAAAATGAGGGTTGGAAGGGACCTCAAGAAGGTCATCTAGTCCAGCGTTTCTTAACCTGTGGGTCCTGACCCAAAAGTGGGTCACAAGAATATATGAAAGGGTTGTGAACAAACTTTTAAAAAGTGGATCAAACTTGAAAAATGTATTCTCCTTTAAAAGGAGAAAGATGTGGGAAACTGTTTTTCCCCTTGCAAGCTGGCAGAGTTCCAGCCTGTGAGGGTCTGCTTCCCCCCCACCTGGGCATTGGTGATACAAATGGGTCCCGATACGAAAAAAAAGAAAGGTTGAGAACCACTAACCTAGTCCAACCCCCTGCTCAGAGCAGGACCATCCCCAACTATGACATCCCAGCCAAGGCTTTGTTTAGCTGGGACTTAAAACCCTCCAAGGATGGCAATTCCACAACCCCTCTGGCTAGCCTGCTCCAGTGCTTTACTACTCTCCTCCTGAGAAAGTTTTTCCTTACACACTTTTCTATCCATCACTCCTTCCATTTCTCATATGCCACATTTATCTGCCTCTCTCTCCAATTAGTGGTCTGTCAATTTGCAGCCACCAACCACCCAGTTCTCTATCTATTTAAAACACTCCAACTGGCCACCCATGTCCATCCCATCCCACACACACACCAATATTCCCACACACCCCATCTATCTAAATATGCCACTGAAGCAATTTTAGCCTTGGTATATCAAACAAAACACATTTGATGAACTCAAGGGTAGCAAAAATGTCACTGTGGAGCGCTGATAACTCTCTCAACCTCAGCAGGGTTTGGGCACCCAACTCCCAGAGGTTCCTTTGAAAGATTTAACTATAGCAGAGATAATTTGGACAACCTACCTGTAAGCTTTGATCTTTTCACAACCTTAAATAGCCAACCCTGAAGCCCCGATGTTCTAGTGATCCTTTTTTCTTTTCTTTTTTAATTTTCTTCCATACTTCTCATTGGAATTTGCACTGTGGTATCCTCTCAAGCTGAAATTCATTTTAGAAGAATAAATCTAAGATAAAATGTTGTATGATGCCTTTTGGAAGAAATTCTCTGCATAGTCTGTGAATTATATTAATTTGTTACCTGCTAGTGGGTTCTTTCTGCCTTCTTCTGGAGAAGGACCTCTACTGTGTTAGCCCAGGAGATCTTCCATTTTAACATTATTTCCATGATAGACTGAGTCATGGGTCCTGGATTATAAACTATTCTTTAGTAGGGCCTTGGGTGAAACAGATAGGCAGAGAGTAGCAAGAGCTTTTTACATTTTGAACTCCCTGCTCAAATAAAGAGTCCCCACAGCCTAGTTGAGATTCTAGGCTTCACTGATCTCCCCTGTCCCTGGAGATCTTTGGGTGTCCTGGATGTCAGCTGTCATGACAAGCTGAGCCTGATGGGGAGAGACCTGGGTTCACGACATGCCTCATTCTTCCCGTTCCTAGATCTCTTTTTCCAATTCCTACTGTCCACTCAGGGAAACAAAGCTTAAAGAGACCTTCTTAGTGACCTATACTATAACAAACTGCTCTGTCATGTACACTTGAATTGGATAGAGCAGCCCACAAGGAAGGACTGGTGAGAGTGATATGCATGCATCCAGTTTTTAAGACCAGAAGAGAGTGCCTCGATTCTCAAAATCACCATCTCTGTCAATGCTTCCAGGCATAAATACCCTCTGCAGCTATGCACTGCGGCCGCTACAGACATCACTGTCTTATTATACTGGATGGAAGGGGAAATGGTAAATTGGCAAAATTAATCCCTTGTCAAACATCCACACGGATGCACAAAATGCAAAGAACTAAGGTATGATAGGTTTTCAGATAATTTTTTCCAGACCATAATAATTCCCTTGGCTACTCCAAAGAGGAAAGACCAGATAGAAAGAGATAAGAGGTCATTTAGTCACCTAAACCTATTAAGTGGAATTAGGCACCTAAGTGCCTCCATGGGTCTGGTCCTAGGTGATTATGCAGCCCTAACGGGTAGATAAATCAAGTAGGTTCTGTGTCCTGGGTACAGCATTGGCAGGGGCAACAGAGCCTGCTGGCTTGAGGGCATCAGCTACCATTCTTGTACACCATCAGTGTCAGCACCCAGGGCTGGTTCCCTTGGTTATCCATTCCTAGATATACTACTGATGGGAGGCTGCATACACAACTCCCCAAATTACCAGGTTATTGCTAATTCAACACCATATTACATTAATTAACATTTACACTGTAGGCAGGGGTTTGACTGGGCTATACACAAGCTTGCAGTCAATCTACTAAACTGAGGGACCAACAGCAGTAAAGACACAACAGCAAAGAATGCAGCACATGGGTTCAAGACCACCCACAACCCTAGGCTGGGCTAGCCCATGGCACTCATCTTCATTTGTATTGCTGCCAAGATTATTGGTTACTCACCTCTTCTGGAAGCCTTTCTAAAACTTGTTCTAGGAGCGAGATATAGACCTCTCCTCTGCTAGGCTTTCACATGGAAAAAAAATATCAGTCATACTTTGTTTACATGGGAAGAAAGACATAGGGTGGGATGCAATCACTAGGTCACTGCATCTAGACCCACATCCCCTCAGACAACCATGTTTGTGGATTCTTTTAAACATGAACATCCATCCTGGCCCCTCCTACTTACCAGTCACAATAGCACCCATGTAACACTAACAGGCAAACAAAACAGGACTACAGGAAGATAGGCAATGACATCAAGGAACACTACAGTGCCAGAGTGTTTGTAGGGTATGATAGCCCAGATGAACCTAAGATGATACCTCATGTCTAATGAAAATACAAGTCATTCTGTCTATAGGAGCAGTAAGTCATTCTAAGTGATCTTCATGAGGGCAGTGCAAAGTATTGGGATCTCTCCATGGTGCTGATTTGGAGTCGCTGCATAAAGAGCCTCCCAATCTTCAATGTAATTATCATCACAACATCCCCCCAGGGGTACAACACCACTATTCCTAGTTTACAGATGGCAAATGAAGTGCAGAGATATTAAGGGCTGGAGACAAAGTCACTTGGATGCCTAAATTGTGTTTGAGTTTCTATTTTAAATTAATGAGATCTAGGAGGTACTCACCTACCACCCTTGCAGGTTTGTCCATGACTTGCTCCAGATTACACATGGAGTCTGTGGAAGATTAGAAGAGTAGATTTGCATCTCTCAAGTCTGAGGATTGCACCTATCTGTTTTACTTCTGAAAAAGAGGCAGCTGATTGGTGGAACACTATCAAAACCTGCAAGTGAAGATACTGGTATTGTTCTGTATCACTGTGATAACTGGGACTACTACCACTGTGATAACCCACACCCCCACAAAAAAAAAAAACCCTGTATGTAGGAGAAGCGTTGCCAACATAAAATCTTTGCAGCTGGATAGTCCCTTGGAGCCAATCCCAGCTGGAAGCAGTACCATCTTCTCCATACCCACCACAAGGAAAGGGCAGTGACCAGGCTGTTACAGCCATTTTATGGTACAAGCACATTGGATTGCCCTACATACCACACCCCTACAGCACCTGCACCACAATACATGGACACTTCATCCCACCCCACTGAGACAGGGAAATACAAACATCCCTTCTCAGCATGAAAGCCCTAGTGAGCAAAGGGACATGCTTGATGTCATACTAGAAGTCTGTAATAAAAATCAGGATTTGAACCCAGGTCCCACCAAGCTATCATTCATCCAGATGTGGGAAGCTGAGGTACAGAGGAAATAAGGACCTGATCCAAAGTTCATGGAAATCAAGTAGATTTAACAGAGGCCAGTGGGTTTTGAAAACAGATTTATGTTACTTACCTAAGACCACACAAAAATTATTCAGAAGAGCCAAAAATGAACCCAGTTCTCCTGAATCCCAGCCTAATACTTTAAGAAAAACACTATTGGAGGCAAGGAAGCTATTTCAGAAGCTTTTTACTGCCAGCAATGCTCATCCCATAAATAGATTTTGCATCATTCCTTATCATCATGCTTCTTAAAGTGGGAGAGCTACCATGGCAAAATGTTCTGTAACAAAGATAGGCACCACATTTCCAATGGACCAAAATGAGATTACACGGAGGTTGTGTAACACAGCATTCCCCATCATGAGATGGACAAAGATTTTGTATTGCTCTAGAGCACTGTGACACATGGAGTAGTAGCTACCACAGCGATACATCCCCTGACAAAAACCCCCAAGACCGCACTAGCAAGGTTGCAAAATGAATTACCCAATAGAAAACACTGCACATTAAAAAGCTTCCCTATTCTTGAACAAAATACCATGACAGTTTCAGAAACAATCATTTAAAAACACAAGCCAAGGCAAATCCAGTCCATAGCAACCAGGAGGTCTGTTCTTCACTCAGATATTCTTCTCTGTAAAACACAGCTCTCAGAATTAATGATGGATTAAAAAACATGGCCCTACCAAAAGCTTGACCAGTGTCTGGAGGTCTCTCTCATATACCATATCATCTTAGCACTGCTTTTCTGGGTTCTGGCTCTCATGGATGGTAGGTGTCTGGGGGGAAAAAAAAAATGTGGAGCAGAGAACGGGATTGTTCCTCTCTAATCCTCATTTTCTCCCTTTACAAAAGGAACTTTCCAAATCCAACAGTTCCTTTCAGGGTCCAGAGTGGTGGACCCTGAAGCCTCAAAAAGACCCATACTCCAACACTAGTGGCCATACCTGAAACAAATTCTGGTGGTCTCATGGGAAGAGGCCAAGAATGGTTTGGGAAGAGCTACTTGTAGCCAATTTCACTGATGCATAGACTAGTCCTCACCCTCCTGAAATCCAAAACCATCTCCAGTGACCCTTCCAAGAAAGTTCTCCCTGAAGATGTGCTCCATGACTTCTCCCAACACTGCCAATATGCCAAGAATTAGGTAGGGGCAACTACTCCCTTAAAACTCATAGCAAAATTCTACCTTCCCCCTCCCCAGTCAAATCAATAAATCACACCCCAGGGTCAAGGCAGGACAGTTTTCTCTCACAAATCTCCATACCAGAGAATTAGACCCTTCAAATTTTGAAGTCTTTGCAAGGGGTTCAAATACTTAGTGTTCACTGAAGACAACACCCACTGTAAATGACAGCTATAGGTCTCCCTAGAAGCCTCATTTCCACTTGACTTCTACACCAATTTTCTGTGAGCTTTCAGTTTACTCTTCCTTTCATCATCCACTTTCTGCCACAGTGTGAAACACAGGATACTGGGCAAGATGGACCTATGGTCTGATCTAGTAAATGGCACTTCTTATGTTACATGAGCTTTAGATGCTAGTTTACCATTCATAGACTCAACATTCTTGGTAAAAGTTGTGGCAAAAGGAACCTAAAGAGTCTAGATTAGACTGTTCTAATCTATACTGACCTAGTCTAGGATAGACGAGTCTGTAATCCATCCTAGACTACACTACACTGTGCTAAAGCAGACTGTAGTACCCCAGACTCTACAACAGGAGATCATTCTAGACTATAACAGATCAGATCAGAAAAGAAAAGAAAGTACAGTATGGCAGTCTAGATTATAACAAACTAAAGTTTAATGGAGCAGAACAGACTTTGAAATTATCTTTAAAATGATTGGAAAGATCCAGACACATGCTGGGCGATGTCAAGAAAATTTAGAAATTTGCTTTTAGGAATTAGCTCACAAGTAAAGTAGATATTGCATTAAAACAATGGTTATGGGGAACAGCAAGGGTTAATTGGTTCCTAAATGCCTGATTGTGACAAAGTTTCACAGCCTTCAAGGCAGACACTATGTCCAAGGCCAGTGGACAAACAGCCTATCTTTTGTTATGGGTTTTCAGGGAACACTGTTCAAATTTCCAAGCCTGTGTGTGCATGTGAGGGGGGTTTTGAAAACAAAGAAACATTGTCTCATCAGTATGATGACCACAGGGAAACCAATCAATGGTATTCTGAAATTAAGAGTCAGGGGAGAGAGACAATTCAAAAGAAATGATTTCAAAGCAGCAAAAGGTCCCCCAAGCAGGGAAGCTGAGGTCACCATGGACAGAGGGTGCACCACAGTCCATCTCACCCACACAGGGCGGGGGGCCTCAGCCCTCAACCTCCAAGCTGCTGACATTCAAGAAAGCAGCAGAGGGTGAAGCTCATGTAGTGGGTCAGACATATCTTTCCTCTTTGAACCCTGGAACTGGTAGATATATAGAATCAGGGGGGTTAATTTTGTTTGCCTTGCCTGCATCACTCTTATTTGTTATCACTGTTTAAATCGATAACATTTTCCTATTCTTGAATGGAAGAACTCATGGTCAGTCTGAGGGTTTCAGTCTACCTGGAATAAGGTACCTGGGTCACAGCACCCAGTAATTGGCACTGAATTTATGACAAAATTTCCTGAGGGCGAATTTGGACACAATGAAGTTTGTACAGAAGCTTCTCATAGTGTAGCTATGGGATCTATGGACCATCTATGCACCCTATATCAAAAACCTAATACACCATTGGAAGCTAATCAGCCTAAAAACACTTCGATTCCTTCAAAGAAAACTGTAGCCATTACATATCTATTTATAGACTTAGGCATTGATAAATGTGCATTTGCCTCTGTGGGTATATCAGCATCTATAGATACATCTATATACGAGAGAGAGAGAGAGATGATTATTTTATATGTACAAATTGTATGCAATGTATTTTAGGTAATGTTTCTTATAAAATAACCATGTGAAAAAAATAAATTCTACGAAAATATTCATTTTTATCATGATAAGAGGCATCTACTGTCTTCATGACAGAAGTCAACAGGATTTGGACTAGGTTTGCCCAAGGTAATAATATAGGTGGAACTGCTGCAGTAATAAACTCCATAACAAAAGCCTACGTGTCATGACCTTTCTGTTTGGAGAATCCTAGTCTCGGCTCGATTCTCTTTAGTTTTCCTCATTTCCCTTTTTCCCCTTAAAGAGAGCTCCGCTTTTAAGCTACTAAGGATGTTTTGAAATATCATCCTCTTCTGCAAAGTGAAGAGAGGGTCTCATAGACAGGGCATTAGGTTGCAATACCAGAGACCGGAATTCATTTCTCTACTTGCAAACGAACACCACAGCAGTCATGAGCAAGTCAATAAAGTAACAGAGTTTTAAAATGGGGTAAGGGGCCATGCCTGAGAGTTAGGCACTTAATGCATTTACAAGTCTGATCCTACATATTTTACTTACTGAGTCTAAGAGGAGTTCAAAGTTGAAACAGATATGCAAAAGAACCTTTCTGAATGGAAACTCAGCAGTTGCCTGCACTTTACCCATATTTCAGGGCTGCATGGAGGACTTCTCAACCTACTGTTGACCAGTCCTTGGCTTCACACAGACCAGGAAAATATTGCATGGCCTTATGTCATTACTACACACATTACAAGAGTAGCTACAGCAATCTCCCTGCAATAAAATAATGGATATTCTAGCACTAGATGAAAACTGAGATGGACATGCTCATTGCTACCAGAAGACAGTTCCCAGACTACGTAACAAAGCAGGACAGAAAATGCCAGTATGTGACCATCTCCAACCACCTCTCCTGACAACTAGAGTGAAGGGCACTTCAGATAAATGTGTACCATTCTTTTAGAATAGCTAGGAATCAACATATCAAGAACTGATGCGCTATATCAAGAATCCAGTCATCACTCCTCAGAACTGGTTTCAGCCACACGACCTTCCTATTTCTTATCCATATTTTGTATAATCCTAACCGATGATTATATCGTTCACATAAAGTAACACAGAAAGTGTAATTTATATTATACATATACAGAAATGTTTCTATTACAGTACAATTGGATGCAAAATGTAAAATTATTGCCTCTTGTCTATTGAAGAAACATAACACACACACACATACACACAACCACACCCTATATCCCTAGTTACAGAAAGGCCTATAATTTCCATGAGTTTAGAAGGAGCACAAGAGATTCGGGCTCCATAATACATACAGTGAATAGTTTGATTTTTTTTGAGTGATAAGATCTTCAAAAGTGAAGAAAACAAAACGTTTCAACATGCTTCTTATCAGGGTAAGAAATCAAGTAGATTTTGAATGGCCCCGTGTCACTGTGATGGATACGGGTATAGCTACCACAGTGATCCATTCCCTATCAAAAACCTGGAGGATAGCCAGAGAAGATAT